TGAATTCAGTATTAGATCATAGCCAGCTGTTGGTCAGTGAAAGCCAGACATTTTGTCAGATTAGGGTGAGAGTGACCAGTGTCCAGACGGCTCATATGATGACCACTATTGTAGGGACACACTTAGGGCACAAATGAATGACCACACATTATCACCAACCGTATAGCCAAGTGCCCTAATACCTTAATTCAGTCTGAGTGACCAAAGCTAATTGCCATCATACACGACATTGTCCAGACTGACCAATGTAATTGACTGGAATACATAACTACTGACCACAGACAGACAGGTATGTCTCATTATGTGTATGTCCAGTCTGTGGTCATCACGAATAAGTAACAATGCCTGATTAATATCTAACAGGTTACCTGTAGTTTTGTCACCTGCTCGATAGCTTTATGGTCAAGAGCTGGTATTGACCATCCTTAACTGGACATTCTATCACAAATGTGACAGACTTTGGTGTTTGTAGAGAATGTTGTATGGACGATTTATTGAATCAGGAAATAAAACATGTCTACTATGTTACATATTTGTAGTTCCTGTTACATAAATACTTTTTTCTGAGAAAAATAAAAAAGGATTGTTGAGCATTGCAAATCTCTGCCATTGGTCGAGAGGGATGATTGGGGTCCAGGATGATAGGAATTCTGGTAGTTTCAGGAAAAAAAATTATTCAGCTTATTCAATAAAATAAGGATTAATTTCAGGATATTAGTTGGGCATTTGAATCTCTAACGTTAGCTTTAAGTTGTGGGGGGGAAGAATTTTTACTACGCCTTTTCTACATTTAGTATTTTCAGGGCCCTTTGTTCACGGACTACACTATCTTAACTTCGATTGTTCATTTTCAATTTCTTAATTTTATTTTACGAATACGCTCTTACAATGTCAGAAAATTACATCTGCAGTCTTACAATTAGTAGCTAAACCCAGTGAATGGGTTGTCACAGAAGTTAGTGGATTTTCATTAAATTCAAATTTATACATAACTTCACACAATGAAAGAGTTAACCTGTTTATTACTTGAGTTAAGACACAGATATGAATATGTGCAAGCAAAGAACAAGTACTTAAACCTACTGTAAACATTTGGCGTATCAGGGGCTACTCACTCTATAACCTACTAATAGTAACAAATTATTCTCAAAATATTTTAACGAAAGCTAGACTCTACGAAGTCACAGAGAAGCTTGATAAAGATTTAACGGAAGCTAGACTCTGCGAAGTCACAGAGAAGCTTGATAAAGAGCGCGAGCTAGACTCCAAAGAAAACAAGAGAAGCAGCTAGACTCTGAAAGTACCAGAGAAGCGACTAGACTCCTAATATCCATGGAGAAGCTATAAAAGACTATGAATTGGAAACGCTAGACTCCGAAGAAGGCAAGAGAAGTCACTAGACTCTGGAGGCATCCAGAGAAGCGACTAGACTCATAGCCACCCCAGAGAATGTATCTGTTAAATTTACCACGAGAAAACTGGCTACAGATAAAGTGAAGTAATAATCTATTTAAGAGATTGGGGGTAAAATTCCCCAAGAATTTAAAGCCAAAATGGAACGATTATGTTAGTGCGACATAAGAGTGAGAGCCCCCAATAAATTCAAAGTTTTTCCATTAAATTCAAACTTTTTTGCATCTACATGTCTCTGGTAATAGACATTTGATATCTGAATAAGAATGTAAACATTTTAAACAGAATTGACATATTTAGACTTGTTTACATTTTTAACTGGCAGAAATAAAATATAATAGACATATATTGATTCCTGATGGATTTATTACAGATTAGCATGCAACGTGAAACAAAATAAACGCAGTGAAATATGACCACCATCGTCGCTGTTATAAATAACAGATTATCCATTTATTACAAATAAGGTAAAAAAACATCAACAAAATAAGATTTAATCTCGATACTGTATTCAATAGGTGTTCACAATATTTATCAACTAAACCCAAAACAGCAGGTGTGCAATTTGTCATTTATATATGCCTCCATGAAACAGCCCGGCACAGGTATATATATTCAAAGCTCTTTTAGCTTTACAAAAACTAATAAATAATTTCAGGTTTACCATTTGCATAACTTATCAATAATTTAAGATTTATCCAATAACTACCAATTCAAAACCAGGTTTTCAGTAGTATTTGTATATTTTTTTATTTTTTTTTCCATTTTCAAAATTTCAGAAATATTTGTGTTTTCATGTTGTGTACATGTACGCCTCTATAACAAAGCTGACTGGTTTAGTTTTATATTAAGTATTGATCTTATGCAGATGTTAAAAATGGCATATTCATACATTTTTTAAATGAGTTTGCAGTATTTGACATTGAGAATTTCTTGTTTTTTGAATTATGGATTAGTGTCAGGATTTTAAACGTGTTTCAGTGATAAATTATACAATAGTGATAGATGATTTTTTAAATTTTTGTATTGATTTCCAATTTGTCTGCATTTATTTCCTGAAATTTGTTACAAATGTCAGGAATTTTATTGAGTTTCTATTCATAACTCAACTCAATTATGTATGAATCTTTCAGTATTTTATTGCAACTTCGATCCTGTAAGCCTTTACCGGTATGTTTGGTTTATGAAAGTTAAAAAAAAAAATTAACACAGCTTTCAATTTCATATTCATCTTGTGTTCATATATGATTTATTTCATCATCATATAAACAAGATGTTATATTGATCTCAATGCAGACAACCTCAGGGTTCAGTCAGATGAACTTCAAAGAAATAGATAGCCTCGTAACATATCACTCATAATGTGATCTTTTAAAAATAAAATTCTGGGTATATAACCCAACCTCTAAATCATTATGAACATTATACTGAAACCACATTCAAGAATTTGTGTCCAATAAAAATGGAAAAGTAATAAATATCTTCAAAAAAAATACTGTTACCTAGAAAAAAAATGACTGGTACGACAGCAAAAACCACAGTAAAGAATGTATGTCCAATAAAAAAAGTACAATAAAAAAAAATCTAAAAATAAAAAATATATACTCAACAGTTACCTGGAAAAAAGATTGACAGGTACGAAAACTATTTGATAGGGAACATTTAGGTTAGGTAATCTCGTCCCCAGATAAACGTATTGATATCGGTCACTTAAAAATCACCAGGTAGCTAGATAAAGACCCAATGTCAGGTGAAAACCATCTGTAAAAATTGACATTGAATGACTGACTTTACACTTCGCTAACGTGTTTACCTGTAGCGGCGGTGACACTTTTCACCTGGTCTATAGCAAGGTGAAGAAATAGGTCCACGGAATAAAGTCTTTCTTTTGTCACCAAGGAGATGTCAGTTTTTCGCCTTAGTGAAATTATATATCTATTCAATTTATATAACTGTATCAATTTGACATTTTATCACCTGGGTGACAAAAGGTCGGCCCTGGAGGGAGTATTATTTCACTTCAAGAATATACCTGTATTAAATCTGACCTTTTGTGCTCAGCTAGAAACACCTAAGCCCTTAGGTTAATTCGCTTGATAAGGAATCAATTTATTTGTAGCTTCCTAAAAAGGGTTGAGTTTCCCTTTGTGACCTTATCAGGGTCATTTTGATGCTTGAACAACGTTTATCTTTGAATTTGTTTGTTGACCATTGTTTAAACAAGTATTTATTTCTGTGTCTTTTAAATGTTGAATTTCTGTTTTTATTTATTGTGTACCAGGTAATAATAGTTTCCATTAAAAAAAATCCAAGAATAGCACACTTATCTAAGAATGTTGAATACCTAGAAATTTGAGTCAAGTGACTATTTATATAACTAAGTAGAATTCACCTATTTAAACAATTCTAAGACAAGGAAATTAAAAATAATGTAACAGGCATTTCCAAGTTGAAACGAAACTACTTCAAACAAAAGTATATAACTCATTCACCCCTGAAGACACAATTGAACCCTTCCAATTCATAGGTAGGAATAGTTCATTATGAAATTTCAGGTGTGAACAAGTTAATAAAGGCATTGAGGTTACATCACTTCCTACTTAAGTTCACATTTCACACCTGTGTTAATTATCGGAGATTCAGGTAGTTGGCGTTTCCGTACCCGTAAGGTGCGGAGATACTCGTCAATAGGTAAATAATTTATTGTGAGTCACTCTATAATCCGACAGAATAAAAAACATGTGTCTGTTTATACATGACCGTTGACCACTAGGAAAATATTTCAACAGATTTATATATATATGACTAACTGTTTAGTACTGTGATCAAAGGAACTTGTCTTGGGGGCCCCCAGAGGGTTTTACACTGAATGAAAACAGTACAAGGTATATATATAACTTAAGGTCAATTCTGTACGCTTATCAGTTTGTCAGCCTTGAAGATCCTTACAGGCAGATACATATGTATTCAATTATATTAAGCTGTGTTTGGTACAAAATTGAGTTATTTATATGTTGTGAGATTTTATAACCTATCTAGAATATATCTATGGTTTAGAAGAGACCAGTATTATATAGGGTTTCAATTTTGAACAGATATCCACTTTAGCTGGGTTTCCACTTAGACAGGTTTCTAAACTTCATGTCGAGAAATGTCATTTTTGATGGGTGACAATTTTGACAGCTAGGTGTCCATTGCAAGCTATCTGTTTTTAAATAAACTGATAATTATTCAAGTTTCTTTGATTTATCCCAGGAATAACACATAATTAAGAAAATGTATGAAACTAAAGAACAGTTTGCCCAATACAAATCTATAAGAATGAGCCAGCGGTCTTTAGCGATTTAGAGTTTTAAGGGTGTTAAATATCTGTAATTATCATTACAAAACGACTTACTTAAGCCTCAAGTTCTTTTTTAAATATTCCTGAGACATGCTAATTAGGTGTGAATCAGGTACCCCCTGTAAACGAAGTGTTGTATTGCACGCCACTGAAGGAGGTAATTAATGCTAACGAGGCACTATGCTAATTACCCTATATATATACCTTCTGGAGTTTCCCCTGTGGTGCCCCATGTGGAGTATTAGTTGTATAACATGCCTGATACAATGTAATTCACCTGTGATTAGGCCGCACTAATTACCTGATAATTTATTATGTAAATATGTTCACCAATATACCTAAAGCTGACTAACAATATTGTCCTTCGGTAATGACCTGATAATAGATTTTATACAGACATGGTAAAACCCCAGGAGTTGGGATATAGGGGGTAGCATTCCTTTAGGGTCATTGTTTGTCTGGCCCTTTATTTATCTACAGAAAGGGCTGGGTCTGGCCCTCTATGATTAGCAGGAAGGACTGGGTTGGTGCCTTTGTGGTACATGACTAACAGATAGAGGTAATCAGATTGTTGGTTTATTTACATGTATCCTAGCTAGTAATGCTAGCATGGAAGTGTAAACGGAGACCGGTTACTAACGAAAACAGATTGTCACAGCAGCTGAGATAAATAAACACACCCCAAGGGCGAGGCCTGCATTTCATCATCTTCGTGTTGAAAACATGCGGAAACCAGGTCAATGTCCCATTAAAATCAGAAAAAAAATAAAGAAATGTAAAATAAATGGTTTCTCCATGTCAAATTTAAAAAGAAGAAAAAAAAATCCCCCACCGAAGAGAAAAGAGTCATGGGATTGTTTGGAAAAAGGCATTTAGTCTTAAATCAATAGGGTTTTTTTCAAGGATTTTTCTACTTTGAAGTATGTTTCAGATGTAATTCAAAAGGGAATTTTCAAGGGATGAATACGAGATATTTGTTAAGGGGAAGAATTACAGTCCCGAATGCTTGAGTCAACAAGGGTTTTATAACAAGGAAGATACCACTTCCTCAACAAACTAAGCTGATAAGAGGTTTAAAATGTTATTTACGTTTCTACCAAGGAACCGTTTATGTAATTGCCTTTGCTTGTAATTTGTTTGCCTCTGTCAATGGTCCGGAGACTGTATCCAATTAGTGAACTGTCACTCTTCTCGAAAGTTCCCCTACCCAGGGGCATGCACACACATATAGGTATAAACACATGGTCTGTCTCATGGACGTGTCGTTTGAATTATGGCTCCGGATTTTAATTGGACTAGCATTCACCGGATGTTACACAGAAGTTCCACGTGTTCGGTATTACAGGATAAGAGAGGTTTCCAATGACTCATAGATTTGTAAACATGTCAGTCACAGGTTTAAATTCGTACAGTTTTCATGATAATATACATGTTGAAATATATCGGACAGATATATATCTGAGTTCAGGGCTGATATATAGTGACAGGGTCCTCTCAGTATATAGGTATACACAGTTCTATATATACACCAATTCTGTTAAAGGTAACAGGGTCTATGTGACTTATAGCAGGCGGCAGAAATCGCACAACATACCTATATGTATATAGAATACACTCCTGCTATGCTCATTGCAGAATAGACATGAAAATGTATTACTACCCATGTGCTACAACAGTTAAATTGAATTTTATTTGGTGAGGAATTTAAATTATTTCATTGAAGTTTGAAAAGTCTTTTGTGGTGCAAAGCATATCTTCATTTGACTGTTTGCTGTGGGTATAGGAGTTTAAGAGAGACTATTTGCTGTGAGCAGATCTCAAGGCTGGTTGTGGCTGAGTGAGCACTATCATACACACAGGCTAGAGAGCTATACACACAAGCCCCACTCAAGCTGTGGCTATCAGTACAGACAGCACAGCAGACCCGTACACATGTGTTACTCACTGTGTCAGGAAATACAACAGGAAAATGGACAATAACACTTAAAACCGCTCACTTTACAATATGACAGTGCCTCTGGATTATTTTACCACATCCAACATTGGAAATTACATAGAAAAAAAACCTGTATTGGAAATTTTTAGTAACTCTTGTGTTCAAATTTGGAAAGAAAAATTGTGACATTTATTAGAGTACATTTGAATTGTACAGATGGAAACTGATTAAAAGTTTCGCTGTTTCGTGTGATCATTGTGAAGGATTTTAACAATGGGTGCCAACAATTCTCAAATTCATGATCGGCAGTCTGATCCGAGAGTTTTTATTCAGCGAGGCGATGCAAGTACAAGATTGGAATATCATGGAGTCTGCTATCAGGAAGGTATGTATATTGTAACCATCTATTATATACAATCAGCATTTATATGTGTCGGTAATTAGTACACAAATTACCATAATCAATATTTATGAGTAATTTGGCCTAATGATAATTATATCTCTAATATCCCAATAGTGATATATGATACTTACGAATATTTTCATTATTAAAACAGAACCCTGTTCATACATATATGTATACATACAGATTCGTATGATAATATTTCAAACTTGCAATCACTATTAGATAATAATTTCAATTTTACAGAAAATTTAAAGAAAATTTAAAGTAGAAGAATATATAAATAGTGAAAATAAAAATTTAAAAGAAAATCTAATTTTCATCTGACATATCTTTGTAGATATCTTCAATGTTTTAATCCATATTATATAGACATAGCGTAATTTATGTGACTTATCAATCAATTTTGCGATTAGTATAATTAATGTGTTGTAAACGCTTGGTATGTTACCTACTTGTGTATATATACAGTAGAAGTGTCAAACATCGTCTACAAGTTTTATTGATAGAGAAATAATGGCCTAAACTTTGTATGAACTCGACCAACATGATTCAGGGATGACTTACTTTATACAGTACAGTCAAGGACCGTGTAATCAGACTTACCACTCCCGACATTCCCCCCTCCCCTTCTTCCCCCTCTCTTCCCCATGAAAAAATGATATATGATATGTTTAGGGGGGAAAAAACAAACGTTTTTATCATATTCCATATTATACCTCCACTATGCTGTATTTCCAAAAATTAAAATCTTAACCCCCCATAAAAGTAAGTTAGGATTTTCAAATCAGTTATATTTAAGGGGTAATGGAGATATTCCATGGGCTAGACTGATGAGTTATACTTCTGAGTTTAAAAATAAACCAACGCCGAGGATCTTTCACTAGAATCTGCTATATTTAGATGTATTTCTGGTCGTCTTGGAGATACAGCTTAATGTCAGGTACATCTGTCTGTGTGGCAGTTAGCTAACGAGAAAAAGCGCTGTGAGATAGGTCAGGTATATACACCTAATTGCGTCATAGCGTACCTCACATTAAAAATGGAGGTAATTAGCGTTACAGCTTAATAGTTAATTCAGTTTTACCTTTGTGCAATGATCAAACAGTACTGTCAGTTTTTTTGCTTCAAAGTGCACACATTGAAGGACTTATAGAGAAAACAACAAACATTCCTGTGTTCAAAACAACCCATCAAACACTCGGGAGTAAATAGGAGGCCCTAGGAACCTTAAACTTCTGAGAGATCTATCAGTAATTACCTATAATGACTTGTACTTAACCATACAACCCTGTTATGTCCGTTTTCTTACCTGCCAAATATTCCTTTTTTATACCGACCATCTAAGCTAATAGGACACATATCTTTAATGAATTATGTACGGTGTATATGAAAAAATAAACAATAAAAAACCAAAAAAAAATTTAAAAATTATTTTCAATACATTTACAGAAAAAAAATTGGTTAAAAATGAAATAATAATAATAATGGGCATTTTGTTTTTAAGGGGTTAAGTGAGGTCATAATTAGATTGAGAAAATGTATAATGAGAGTTCTACTCGACAAGTACAGCTGCTACCTCAGATCAACTTTCACAAAAGTACATACGCTAGTATATTCTTAGGATAATGAAGAGTTACTTCCCCTTATCGTACAAACATATGAATACCAGACAATTTTGTTGGTGAATTATGAGTGTATAGAGCCAGCTTTTATCATTTAAATCAATATTCAATATATTTGAGAAAGAAGTAATCTGACTTAGCCAGAAACTGTCATATTTATATAGTAAATTAAATTGACCATGCTGAATATTTATTCTCGGATCAGCATGAGCCTTAATGAGGTATCGCATTCTCCCTATATAAATATTAATGCTGTTTTAATAGAAAGAGTTTTAATTTGTATTTATATATAGAGTTTAAGTGTAAGGTTTCCAATTACCTATCAATACCAGAAAGGATGAATAAAGAAAACCTTACCATTTAGTTAGTATACCCTCGGCTCAGGCCAAGGTGAAAATATATTTGTTTCTAAGGTCAATCTTTAGTAAAACCAACTTGGTAAAGTTACGCAAAAGATTTTAATTTGGAATTTAGTTCTACCATAAAAATAGGGATAATCATTAAATCAATAAATCATTAAATCATTCAAATATCAAACAGAGATGGCCGAGGCCAAACTAAATTTAACTTTGTTTCCTGTTCTGATTTAGGGTAGGTAGAAGGAGGAAAATACCAGTATTTTATTTCCATCTTTTTTAAAATTTTGATGATGATTATGATGATGATGGGACTATCATCTTCTCACATTAGTTTGATATAAATCCCATTGAATATATTTATCAAATCCCTTTGAGAACATGTGACCATAAGAACACTGGTAAAAAAAACTTGTCTAAGACATTCCCTTGAAAATTAATTTGAAACTGAGAGTGAATTACCAGAACTTCAGGGTTTTTTCACTGAATGAAAATGTTAAAAGGTCATAAGTTAAAATAAAATCATTTCGGAAACAGGAGTCACAAATTGTACGACAAAATAGAATTAAGGTTTAAGGTACAGCATAAAAGGGGCTGACAGGAAAAAGATACAATAACGTAATTTCACGTTTTTGTAATAATATGCTCTGACAAATACCTGTCCGGGACAATGATGGATGTCTAACACTTTCTTTTTAAAAGTTTTTACATAAATTCCGATTTATTTATGTATAGATTGTGACAGAGATAGCATACAATGCATCAAGATAGGTAAGAACTAACATGATAGGGTAACATGATAGACATATGGGGTGGATTGGGTTTCTATACAACTATAACGTATCTCCCATTAAAATTCCTGGTGACAAAAACTCCACTTGTTCCCCCTGATCTACGATTAAGGCACAGACATCGCAAACATTTTTGATATGTTAATTTATCTCAACTTTCTAAAAAAAATCTTTCTAAAAAAAAGTTTTGCATTGACATTTTAGGTGAGAAATGGCATTTAAATTTGACTGTGATGGTCTGTGCCATGATTTCAGGTAAAAAGGGTCGTTCTTTCGTGTCAGAATAGGACCCAAGTATATCTGACATTCTTAAAAGTCCATGTTCAGGCAAAAGTTCATTTAATCGTTTGTGACTTTGTAGGTGAAAAGATCAAATCTAATTTAACGTGGCAGATGATGGTGTTTGTTGTCGTCTGCTAGTTAGTGTTGTCGTCTGCTAGCTAGTGTTGTCGTCTGCCAGTTAGTGTTGTCGTCTGCTAGCTAGTGTTGTCGTCTGCCAGTTAGTGTTGTCGTCTGCTAGCTAGTGTTGTCGTCTGCTAGTTAGTGTTGTCGTCTGCTCAGTGCAACTGTCTGATAGCTACAGTAGACCACAGACCATATAGTTTAGTCTTTCAATACAAACTGATAAATTTTCACCGAGTTTGTAATCAATTATAGGTCAAAGTTCCATTAAAATATAAGAAAAACTCAACTTTTAATGCACTGTGCAATAAAATAATAATTATGCATATTAATTATGTTCGCTTCATTAAGATTTTCACTGAAGTAGTTATGGGGGATATAAAAATAGGATCTTAAGACATTTTGTCCACTATCTGTTGTTTTACAGATGTCTGTATATGCTATCCTAAAACTTTTACGAAATTTTCCTTTGATGTCTTGCATTTTACGAATACAAAAGAAACTATAGGCTATATAATCTTCATCTGAATGGAGTCTATTTGTCATACAGATTTGAACTTGACATAACTTTTAAAGTCAGAATCATAATAGATGTTTTCTTTGTTTTCCAGGCAAGCCGTCCACACCAGATGGTGTTCCTTTTGTGAAGAATATCTCGCATAATTGTCTTACACTCAGCTGGCTAGCTCCCAAGGGATTCCCGGCCAAATCAATACTTGCCTATCAAATTGAAGTCTACAATGTGTTCGAGCGTCGATGGAAGGTCGTTACTAATTCTTGCCAAGGGACAAGCTACGACGTGAAAAACCTAGTGCCTGACACGGAGTACAGATTTCGAGTGAGAGCTGAAAACTTGTACGGCCGAAGTCGACCCGGTCATGTTTCTCCCGTTGTTAGGACGAGAGACATCAGTGAGTGTTCACAACAAACAGACAAAACATTCCAAAAACCGCAGAAAATTGTACGTAGACACAGTCACCATATTAAAGTGGACGGAGGAGTGGCTACATTGCTGAAACGTACAGAGGAGAGCAAGTTCGAGAACCATATTGGAACAATCCCCCTCAAGCGAAACAGCAGCTTGCGAGGGTCACTTCCTGTCCAGAGACGGTCAGTCTCGGCAGTGTTTCCCGGGTCAAGACGTGACAGTGGTATTAGTCTGCGTGAATCACGCCGGTCACTCGAGGAGTCATCCATTGCCACGGGCGACTCCTCCGTTACAACAGGAGACGATGAAAGTGCATCCGGTTCTCTGCGGTTGAAACGTTTCTCAAATATGTCAACTTCTACAACAACAGAAGAAGAATCTTGTAACCAATCGACTTCTGCGTCCTCCATGACTTCAATTCCAGAAGAAGCAGATGTGTTGGATAACTACACCATTCCAGAGGAAGAAGATTTTCTTACTTCTCAGCTAGATGTGGACGATTCAAACTGGAAGTTAACGGGTCCCTGGACATTTTCAGACAATAACAAAGGCAAGGAAGATAACTCTCAATGGAATGCTTCTTCAAGAAACAATTCGCAACAGTGGCAATCGCCAAATAATGACAATCAGTGGAAAACGCAGTCACCGGAAGAAGATCCCTGGAACCTTGGCCTTGACTGCTGGGGGTCCCCAGGGGGAGGTAACTCTCACTCACAGGACATAATGTCTGCCCCTTATTCAGATGACACTAAAATTGCTTGGTGTACTCCCCCTTCCAAAGATAAAGGTCTGAAATCCTACAATTGTAAGGAAGAAACGCAAGTTTGGAAAGGACAGAGCGGTTACCATAACAACAAAAATTTGAGTTCGTTTCAGAGTATGTTTAGTGATGACGATATTGTGATAAAAAATTTAAGTTCTGATAGTAATGGGAATTATTCTTTTGATCCAAAGGACAGACAGTGCTGCGTTATCGAGGAAGACGATGAGGCAATAGATCTTGTGTCAGCCGTATGATGACATTTTTCGTTGCCATGGAAACAATAAATCTTTGAACTTACCAAATACCCAAGTGCCATTTTCATTGCCTAGATGGAATATATGATAGTGCTTTACTCAACAGCACGGACCAAATACGCAAGTCTGGAGTGCATGTGATATCTGAATGTTCATTGGACAAAAATTGACCAATCATGAACCAACGAAATATGAAATATGTGATTACAACTTCATTGGAATTATTAATGAACCATTCAGATTTGTGATATGAACCTTTTCAATGGATTAATTTATATAAAACCAAAATGGTTTAACTTTACTGTTGTTGAACTGTATTTTTTACATTTTATACCTTAATGTCTCAAATTGATATCATGATGCATTTATAATTTCTTCTCATCAAGGAACAAAAAGACGTGGTGACAATAAGTTAGATCTGTCTTGATCTTCAAAATCTGGAAACCTGATACAGTGTATTTTGATTTCAATTCAAAAATATTTTTGTGGAAGAAAGAAAAACAAAGATAATATCAAATTTTCTGGAAAATTCTTAATTGTAAAATCTGTGCCTTATACAGGGTCTCAATCAAGTTTATATTACATGTGAATTTTATGGAACAAACTTCAGATGAAATAGGAACAAGTTTGAGATTCTATTTATCATAACCTCAACTGAAGTATGCAGATTCATGAAGTAATTTGTGGAAAATTGAAAACTGGAAAATTGAAAGAAAACCAAATTTTGGCTGGTTTTACGTACATATGTTTATATACTGCATAGTAGCCTGAGGATATGATACATTTTTGATGATATTTTAATTGCTAATTTAGTTTCAACACTTAATAAACTAGAGAAAAATAATTGGGACATATATTATTCAACACCATATATAAAGTACATCTCTGAAGAAATATAATGATTCACTTTTCAAAACACTGGTCTTTATAATTTTACTGAAACTGCTACTTCTTCTAAATTTATTTGTCCCGCTTTTTATCATATCATACCATTATACAAAATGTGTTCTTTCTATTTTCAGTAACAGATTCATACATTGTATTACCTATGTATTGTTATGAGAAATACAGAAACTATAATATGATAATACGGAACTATGTTTTTTTTGATAAAGGACAATTTTCTTTATGCTGTATAAAGTCTGCCTGACGGATCATCGTCAGTTATCATAGACATTTGCATTGAGTCTACTTTCACATCTTTGAAATTTTGCTGATAATATGCAAAATTGGATCACACCATAAATATATATTTTCTAGACATACATCTGGCATGAAAATTATTCGGTAGCTTGTTTGCGGTAAATCCATTTCAACAAACAGTTTCATTATTTTAAATTATTCGATCCCCCTCCCATCTCACCTCCCAATGAGGAAGTTGGTTTAATTTTATGCATACTGCATTTTAACACGGAAAAATTACATGTACTACGTACTTGCAGTATAAATTAACAAAAACAAAATTACGTCGAAATTTATTGAAAGATTATTTGTTATTTCTTCCCTATTGTTTCTGGAGCCTGTGTCATAAAAGTAATTCTGAATTGTTACTGGAGCCTGTGTCATTAAAGTAATTCTGATTTGTTACTGGAGCCTGTGTCATATAAGTAATTTTGATTTGTTACTGGATTCTGTGTCATATAAGTAATTCTGAATTGCTACTGGAGCCTGTGTCTTATAGGTAATTCTGAATTGTTACTGGAGCCTGTGACATATAAGTAATTTTGAATTGCTACTGGAGCCTGGAGCCTGTGTCAATGGGTAATTGATTACGAGCCTCTCATTGTGAGAGGTAGACAATAGGCATGGCACAGTGTCACAGGGATCATTTATCTGATCCGACCCCGGGGCTGGAACAAGTATAACAGGTACTGATTGATTTGATTCCTTTATAGATTATTCATAATCTACTGAACATGGACATTTTGAAAGTGACATGAGCAGAAACCTGTCCTATCTGACACCTGTGGTTTCCACTTTTTCTACTCCAATAATGACTTTTATGATTTCTGACCTGTTTGATATTACTTCATTAACGCTGACTTTGAGTTAATCCGACAGAGTCTGGTCTTCGGAAGAACTGCATGTTCATTAATCCCTATTGTTATTTTCCATTAGGTCTTGAACCATTGTTGATTAGGGGGCTATCTGTTTAGGTTGTCCCAGAACAAGAGCCCCTAATTGGGAGTAATTTATTTCATCATGAGTTAATCCCTTATAGCACAGACTTAGATAACAAATCTAAGCCGTGCTTATAGCAATGATGAATGACCTTTCAACAATTCAACAAGAATTAAAACCAACATGAAGTCCTTCTTCAACAATTAAACAAGAATTAAAACCAACATGAAGTCCTTCAAATTGGCAAGATACTTCATGGATTAAGATTCAAACAATGTCGAAAAAATAACTTTTTGTATCCCAATTTATATTTCCACAATAATATACAAACATATCTTGATTATATCTATTCTACCATGTACATTAGATAGAAAGAATTGCATTTTTGCCCAAATAATACGGTATGTAATGAAGGTAGCATTAGCCTGAGATTAACTTAGCACAGTATTGCACATTTTGGGTCATGTGTGTGGTCTGTTGTCCAGTAATCCATGATTGTTGACCAACGGAAAAAGGTTACCAACTTCGCCAACACGGTGGAATGTTATTATATAATGTTAAGTGGGAAGGTGTTTCCAATGAAAACACATTACCATGGTAATGGTACTACTGTTTATCACTCTTTACAAGAAAATGATAATAGGAAGTAATAATGATGATAATTTGTGAACTAGCAGGGTGGTCTGGCCATACAACTTACACGTACCATAGAAATACAGTCGTTAACAGCCTTTGTGATATAAAATGTTCAATGAATATACACCTGCCTGCCGTGGAATGAGTAGGATGGCAAGGTACCCTTATTGTTTGATAACAAGACCTGCTCAGAAACTATCTCAACAGGGAATTCTTACTTTGAGAAGATGAACAGTTTAGAGCAGAGCAAGTGAGAGGAGGAATAGATGCAGGAACCCTCAATCTGAAAAAAAGCACTTTATCAAAAATTCAAAATCAATTTGAATGTAAAAATTCTTAAATTGAGACAACCCATTGCATATATAGAAGCATATGTTGAAAAAATGCCAGGGCCAAAAACTTGTGTATCAAAGTAATGATTCAAATTTCATTATATTAAATGAACTGCATACATAAATAATCAACTAGAAACCCATAATGATTACAGAAAAAAAAAAAATTCATGCTACAATAGCTACCTGAATTGACCATTACTGTCCCTAAGTCGCCCTAGGAGATCTTTGTATGGCCATATTGACCATGTAATTCAGGACGTTGATCAGTATAGCCTGGTCAGTATATAATAGCCAGAAGTGAAAACCAGTCCAGTAGATAAAACAGACCCCTAGAGGCCCCTAACTTTGATCTTCATAAAACACAGATCTTAACAGAGATAATCTCCCCTGTTGTCTGGTCAGCTTGTCTGGTTACTCTCTAGTATCCAGTGACATTGCATTTTTGACCACTGACCAAATTTCAGTTGATGCATTTTGTATTTTGATAGTAGTAGCAGTTTCCTTCAAAATTTCTGAAACTCATCTCAAAGCTTTTCTTTCATAGTTTGGCAGAGCACTAAACTGAAAATGTCGGAACACTTGATTATTTTCGAAATATTACTAGGAATTGAAACACATTTAGATCCTATATTGCTACCCAAAATGTAATTGGTTGAAAGAATTTGTTGAGGAATCTCGTTGAAGGTTTTTCTAACTCTTATCCATAGATTTATTGACTACAGATCTAGAATTTATGGTTGGGAAATTTCTCAGCCACTTGCAGGGAGCTGAAGTTTTTGTTACGGAGATTTTTAACTGTTTCAAGCGTTTATTCTTAAACCACTATCAGAATAAAAAAAATTTCCTTTACTTTGAACAAAATCCCAAATTAACTCATACACCACCTGCAGTTTCACAATGAATTATTCTAACCTTTGAATTGGAAGAGTTCAATTGTGTCTTGAGGGGTAAATGCGTTAAGCCTTTTTCCTTTATTTACTATTTACCCAATGCTTTCTTACCAGAAACAGCTCACTTATTGGTCTTTATCGACACGTTTTCAAAAAGTTTGGAATTTCGAACTTTACAGCCAATGGGAGAGAGATTCTGATTATTCAGCGGAAGTTTCCAATAATTTTACAAAGTAAAATATAGAGAAATTCCCTACAAGGAAGACATTGCATGTTGTAATTGATTTGTGAATTAAGTCCCTATGTGGGTGTAGGGTTAAAGTTATGATTTGTCTGTCCTGACAGGCCGGGGTAGATATTACGATTTATCTGTTCTGCGGGACTTAACTCATTCACCCCTGAACTTTCATGATAAACTATATTCCAACCTTTGAATTGGAAGTGTTCAAATGTGTCTTCAAGGGGTGAATGAGTTAAGGGTAGATTGAGATCACAAGGAGATCAAAGCGTCCGTCCACTCACCACTTACCCTGGAGGGACAAGCTCTCCGGAAGTAAAGCTTTGGTCATAATCTTGTAATACAAAAGATATTATTGTTTTGCATATGATTTTATGAACAGAATCAATAAATGATGATTTAGACCTTTCATCCATAACTGATTCAATAACTGTTTATAATTGCTTCTACAAAGAGCAAAACACATCTTTGAGACTTTCACAGATTAGATCAGCAAAACTCTTTTTGATCTGTGAATGCTCAAAGTCTGATAGGCTTGATTGTGAAAAAGATGTACAAATGTTTTACAAAGTTCTTTTGTAAAGTTTGAATGAAACTCTGATACCAGATAAGTAATTATTCAAATGATCTTTAAAATCCAGGGAAATGAACATCAAGTGTTTGTAAGTATTTTTTGTATAAAGAAAAAAAAATGTTTGGCAATTTCATTTTTGGACTTTTAAACTGACAAATCTTTGGGGTTTTTTTTTCACAAAATGTGACATTTTTTTTTATTTTTTTTTACAATGAACTCTTCAAAGGACATTGATCTAATCTTGATAGGACATTGAACGTTTATAATTGTTCATCTTTTCGTGCAGGTGTTTGTGTTGTAGTGTCGGTATTTACATCAAAAAAGGAATAATTTTATAATTTTATTTAAATAATTACATAAAAACATGATATGTTTACTACAAAGTAATCACTTGTGGAGACAAAATCACAGAATTCTTTTTTCAAAGATTAAAAAATTGAACAAGGGTATTGTATTCTCAAGTCAATGACATATGTCAATGAGAGAGTTTTTATGCCAGAAAATTCCTCATCCGGGTTTGGCCACTGATAAAGTTGAACGACCCTCTTTTTAATAGGAGTGAACTATAGCCGAAATGCTTGATAAACACTCATTTTTCCACGCTATTGATCTAGAACAGCTGATGCTGTTTGTCTGGTATTTCCTTGCGTTGCCGTAACATCCTCCTTCTAGTCGGGAACAATGGATTATTGATATTGATGAAACAATTAATGTACTTTCCCTGCAGGAGGTTGGCAGAGTCGTGTGTAAATTTTCGGTGTGCTAACAAAACGTAATGTAACCCTATCACAACTATATCTGGAAAATCCTGTTAAAACAATGCCCATTGTATCGCTTAATTAAGTAAATAAAATAAAAAATCAATATAGCTAAAGCCAATAAACATTTAAACCTAATAACTATTACAACCTAATAAGACCATGATTTATTTTTTTCAGAAATGCAGATCATATATGACTTATTATGTAAATAAGTCACCTTTAAATCTTTACTCAAGAAGTACTTGAATACAAAATCTGTTCGGCAAAATCATTATTGTGTTCATTTAACACAAAAACGTTTCCATCATCTGATTGTAACTAGCCAATCATATCTAGTGGCTTAGACAAAAAATGACCAGGTGTTTCATGGGTAATTATACGCGTTGTGTTTATATTCCGTAACTTGTCCGTCAGACCACCTGCTGTACTGAGGGA